AGAAATTGACATTTCAAGCAAATGGCTTCATAAGGATACACCTTTGTCGTAATCATCTCCACCAGCTGCTTAATTCCTCTTCCCACCCTTCAAAACCCACAAACTCCTTTTGGCTCCCAGCAACCGCCAAGACCCCAGTCCCGGCAGCTATCTACCAACCTTTGGTCATTCTAATTCAACTTTCTATTGTCACTTCTTTTCTGTACCCCTTTCAATGAAACCTTTGGCAGAAGTCATTCACCAATTAATAACTACTCAGAAAAGATTCCTTTTCAGAATATCAGTGATCATGGCTCACCACAACTTCCTATTCTTTGCCACTTTTAAACCTTTACCACCTCTCTTTGTCCCTGTTTTACCATCCATTCACACAAACTCGTTAAGTAGGTTACTTGTTGTTTCCACCTGCTTCTCTTGCATGCAGAATACCTTGTGAGTGTTAAATTTTCCAAGCCTTCTTTCCTCATTATGTGTCCTAGAAATTCCAACTTTTTTTCTGATTTTTTTTCTGTAGTCTTTTAGTATAGGTTTCTGTGTTTTGCGTTGTTTTTTTAAACCAGTGTTGCCATATACAAGGCAGTAAAGCCGCTAAAAAAAAATGGGTGTGGAAGAACTAGCAACAGAAACATTAATGATGATCAGAAAGATTAGAGAGTAATCAGGTGGACAGTAGATAGTGATTGACATTGCATTTAAATTTTTGAAGATTAAAGTTGGCTGGAAAGCATGGAGCTTGAAGGGAAATTCCACAAGCTAAAAGTGTGAGAAAAGAAATTTTTTACATAGAATTTACAGTTACATCTAGCCAGCTCAACTGCAAATTGATGAGATCTTGACATTGGTCTAGTACAGCGCTTAAATTCATAAAGACCAGGAATCATAGTGAAGAGTTCATCTGAACAATTACCATGAAAGTATTCATAGAAAAGACACAGGGAGGCAACCTTACAATGGCGGGCAAGTGACTGAAGCTGAGCCGCCAGATCAGGACCTATAAAATTGCTGATTCTTCTTTGGATCTTATAAAAGAGCTTAAGCTAAATAACATGGACACCAGACCATAAATGGCATCAATATTCTAAGCATGGGCAAATGGTAGACTTATAGATATGCAAGATAGATTATCTCGGACAACACAGTGAACCAACTTTCTTGTATTATCAAATATTGAGTATTAAATTCTCCAAGCACTTTTTTTCTATATACACCCAATTGTCACTTTCTGATTAATATTGCCTACCGATAGTAAATCCTGGTAGGACTTCTAGTTCTCTTAGGATTGCTTCACTGTCAAGAGTAAATAATTTCTGTGAGAATACGTATTCATGTCTTATGCACCTTTCAATTTTTGTTCACTTACTCAATTCCTTTTCTATCCATTCACAAGAGATTTGCTCCCAGTATGAATTCTGTATGAATGTCTTTCCCAGATAAACCAATTCTGTATGAATGTCTTTCCCAAATAAATCAAGTTTTCCTAGAAGTTCAAATAAATCTTTGTATCACATCTTATCAAATATAGTCCTTTTGCATTTATATTCTGAGCATAAAGATTACATTTATTGTTCCAGTGTCTTTAACAAAATCACGCTATTCTTTTACTATTTCTGGTCTAATTCCGTGACACATTCTATTCATCAGAGTGGAGATGACAAGCTTAGTCATATTGTTTAGTAATCTGATCACCCAATGAAGCTCTAATTTATTTGCACCTAGCTTCTTAGGTAGCACTATGAAGATGGATCTTACAAGGTCTTCCGGTATGTCACCACTGTACATCAGATGAGCAAAATAACAATAATCAATAGATAACTCCTATCAGCCAAAATGCAATGGGTACCTGAAGATGGCCAAAGGGTACTTTGTCAAAACACCTACAATAAACAAGATCAATAATTTGAATAAATTAAAGTATATTAAAAAATTCCTCACCTCAAAAATGAAACACATCATAATTCCTGTCATTGTGAAGAAAGGCACTGGAATTACATGGACAAATATGACAAAACGAATTAATGTAATTTACCAATTGTATGGCTAAGATAAAGAATATATATATATATATGTGTGTGTGTGTGTGTGTGTGTGTGTGTGTGTGTGTGTGTGTGTGTGTGTGTGTGTGTGTGTTTCATTGAATAAGACTGACAAGGTGCTTTTGTTTAGTTTAACACTTACCATGTATTATAATAGTATAAAAATTAACATTGAAAATAATGTATAATTAGTGGTATCAGGCTACTGACTGCAGTGATTATTGAGTGCCTATTATGTGGAACTATCCAGTCGAATTAGTGTGCATCGATGATTTGGGTTTTGATTTAGGATTTAACAGATGTTAAGCCGAGCCACACTACTAACAAGGTATTCACTGAAATGGTTAATAATCTTTGATTGACTTCTTTATTCTTGTTAAGTATTTATTTGCAGTTGTAATTAAATACTGTTTTATCTTAACATCGAAGTCTTGAGTTATATTTAATTATTAACGGCCATGGTACAT